ATAAATCTTATCCTGCAGTTTTTCTATAGCCAAGTTTGGATCTCTAGATCTTACTATGACCCCAGTGTCATCAGCATAAAATGCAGTTAAGCTATTCCAATCGCCCCTATCTATTGGAAAGTCGTGTGTAAATAGGATATACAAGATTGGTCCGAGGATGCTACCTTGCGGTACTCCTGCTTTTATACTCCTTAGAGTTGAGCATACATTTCTCATTTTGATCTGAAAGTTCCTTTCAGTCAGGTAGCTGTGTACAAATTTCACTAGTCCTGCAGGGAATGCCAGTTCTATAAGTTTGTATATAATTCCCTTGTGCCATACTCTGTCAAACGCTTTGCTGATGTCAAGCATTAATAAAGCTGATGTCTGCTTTAAGTGCAGTCCCCTGCCAATATAATCTACAATCCTTAGCAGTTGCTTTGTAGTATCGAGTTTCGCCCTGAACCCGTACTGCTCGTCTGGCAAACAACCGAGAAATGGTTTGAGTCTTGTGTATACTATTCTTTCCAGTATTTTCCCAAGAGTGCATAGCAAACTTATAGGTCTATAGCTGGTAGGAGATAGTAAGTCTTTGTTTGGCTTTGGAAAGAGAATGATATTGGCAGTTTTCCACACAGATGGAAAGTAGTTTTGCGATAAACATGCATTATATATCTTTGTAAGATATTCAACGTAATGATCTGGTAGGGCTTTGATCATTTTGTTTTTAACGTTATCTAAGCCAGGGGCTTTTCTATTATGCAGTTTTGTTATGATTGTTTTAACTTCCTGTGGGTTTGTATATTCAATCAGCTCAGGTTCTCTATGTTCTGCTAAATAACTCTCAACGCTTTCATTCACTAGTCTTTCATTGTGAGGATTATAGTTTTTGTTTAAGGTGAACTGCTCTTCCATACAGTCGGCAAAAACCTCAGCTTTCTCTCTTTCAGTGCATACAAAGCCGTTTGCTGCTCTTAGCGGCTTATTCTTTTGCGGGTCCGTGAGCAGTGCTTTTGCCAATTTCCAGATTGAATTGTCTTGGGTACAAAGACTTTCCACTTTTTCATTCCACTGCCGCGTTCTAAAGTTTTTGCACATATTCTTTATCTTCCTGTTCAGTTCTATATATTCCTCTTTAAAGAGAGGATCAGATGTGCTTTGATATCTCTTCCTAAACCAGTTTCTTTGTTTGATAAGATATTTTATTTCTGGTGGGAGCCTTAGGAAGTTCACTTTATACACTTTAGAGGTACTTGCATCAAGCACTCAAAAATAGACACCCTATTTAAACTAAATGTGAAAGAAAAGAAGAAAAAGAGAATTTTAAATGAAAAACGTAAAGTTGCCAACGAAAAATGAAAAAATAAAGGTGAGAATCTTGAAAATGGGTGCCTATTTAAGAGCGCTTGAAACGTGGTGACTGTTATTTCCAATTTGTACATTTTTGAAGCAAATGAAGTTTTTAATCAAATAATACCAGTAATATCGCTTACCTTGCCAAAATTAATGAGGCTTCATTGGCTAAAAAAATGGTTTGACGAGTTTTTATGATTCTGTAAAAAATAATTACTTTTTCTCCATTGATTTTGCGTTTTAGTACATTGTATTAGAGTAGATATAGTTTATTTTACTTAAATTTTTAGATCATTAATTTTAAAGAAGCACATTTATTTAACGCAACTACAAACAAAATAAACTCGTGGCTGAAAATAACTTTAGCAATGCTAATTCGGACACGCAATCCTCACATGCCATTCACGTTAATTTCCTGACTGGCCAGACAAAACGAATTAAAATTAAATTAAATATTAAAGAGAGTGGAATCGACTCCGTTTATTAATTAAATAAAAATGTAGGCTAGTAAACGTCACAAATGTTACCCTTTAAATATTAGGACAAAAAGAGAAAGAAAAAACAGAACTGTCTACAGTTTAATTTATAATAATAGCAAATGACTAAGGAAAAAAAAATTTGTTTTTCAAACGCTCATCCCGATTGCACTAATTGAAATTTTCAAACTATTTTTTCGGATGGAGAGGTAGAATTCTCTCTTCCAGCCGCTGTCCAAATCTCAGGATGATACCAACACCAGTTCTGAAGTTGTAAGAGAGAAGCAAACTCAAATAAATTATACATTTCATTAGTATAGATTAGATGCTGTTATTGTTGTAGTTAATTTACGTCACACTAGAGCTGCACAATGGGCTATTGGCGACGGTCTGGGAAACATCCCTGAGGATGATCCGAAGACAAGCCATCACAATTTTGATCCTCTGCAGAGGGGATGGCACCCCTGATTTGGTAGCCCGAAGACTTTTAATCCGCAGAATTCAATACGCAATGACAAAATAAAAACACTCTTGAGCAGCGAAGCCCCGATTTTTTGTGCATGATTTTTACTCTCTCTACTCCCTAATTACACAATGACATTTTGAATAATTGGGGAGCTGCTGTGCGGTGAGTCTGTGAGGGAGAACCATGCAATTACAGCATTTCTGTCGAATTACAACAGGAGCAATGCAATTCTCAAAAATGTTAGAGTTCGTGAGGATGAACAAAAATCGGTAGCGGCTAGCTGGTGGATTATGTATAAAATGTCTCATAATGTTTCATTATTTTTCAATTTTCAAGATTTAATTTTAATCTTCAGAGCATTTATTTTAGTTAAGAAGGAAGCAGTAAAAAAGATGGAATTTTCATATGGAATAACAGGAGTGCTTGCCAACACATTATCTATGCATGATAAGCGATGAGCAGCGGGCCTGGTAGGAGCAGATAATTAGATGATTTCCATGAAATAAATTATTTGCCAAAATTGCAGTGCTATCGTAATTCAGATGCAAATCAAACTATATTTTAATTAATAAATGGCAGTACCTGAAATAATCATGATAAAAAGAAAAGTTCAATTTTTATTATTTTAAGTAGGAATTATTTCTTTATTTAAATCGAATTAAAAAGATTATTTTATTAACTGTTTCAGGAAACATACATATTTAAACTTGAATTTATATAATAATTTAATTAATAAATGATTTCTTCTATCAAAAAGCAAAAAATTGATTTATTGCTTTCCTGTTAATTCATTATCAATTCAATTAAAGCTCATGAAAATGATCTTCCCATTCTTTTTTTAAAATAGAAATTTTTAATAAAATATATTTTTTAAAATACTTATTTAAAATATTTCTTTATATTAAAATATTTATTTCTTAAATATTTATTTTTATTAAAATATTTATTTAAAGAACTATTTTATTAGATAGTTTAGGAAAAATACATACTTAAAAACTTTTTTACTATAATTTAATTAATAATCGACTTTCTGTAATAAAAAGCACATGATTTATCGCTTTCCTGCTAATTCTTTATCAATCCAATTACAGATTATGTAAATGATCTTGCAAATAAAATATTATTAACAAGATTATTTACATAATATTTATGCAAAATAAAATATTAAATAAATTATGTAAAATAAATAATTGAATAATTATGTAAGTTAAAAATTGAATAACATTATTTAAATTAAAATATTCTTATTGCACGGGTTCATAGCCTTTTCTATAAATCACCTTCTATAAACAGGTGTAAAAACAATTTAACTAGAACATAAAATGAATCACGCATTACTTAACTTTGTTTACAAACAAACCCATGCTTCGCGCCAAAAGTAAAAGCGATTTGCCGCCAAATTTAGTTTCGCTTTCAATTTCCTCTCAGTAAAAGTTCGCTTTCCCTTTCTAAAATACCTCAGTTGAGCGGTTGATCCATTCAGAAATAATTTTGCCTCTGAATGAAAATGGAAAGTGAAGAGCATGAAGTGTGGGGGGATGAACGATTGGAGATATTAAAGGATGGTGATTACACCCCAACCCCCGATGGAGACATATCAAAACAAGAAATGCCTAGTTGGTTTGATTCCGAAAAATTTAATAGAGCCAAGAAGGTTTATAAAGAACAATTTGCAAGGTATGGAATAAATTGATATTTTTTAATTAGAATTATGTGGATATATACAGAGATGATTGCGCTCCGGAAAAAATCCGGATTTCCGGATTTTTTTGCTAATTGCAATCCGGAAGTTTCTGGAGATCATCGATTACATTTATGTATAAAAAATTGTCGTATATTTTATTCATAAATATTAGAACTAGAATTTATACTTGGCATATTTTTCATTTGTAAATAATTTTTTTTTCTGGTAGAATAATAAATGTGATTAGAGATAAAAGTAAACTTATACATAATTATTCATTTAAATTATGCTGCATATAATTTATTTAGAGTTTTATGTTTTGAAAATATCAATGACTTAAATTTATCATCAATTCATCATCAAAATTTATTATCAATGATTAAATTATATTATGACATCAATTTTTTGTAATGCGTCATTAATGATTTTATACTCAAGAAATTTTCTGGATTTTTGAGTTGGGCTCACAAGTGAATAGCTCAGTGAATGCAAAAATAAATAACTACTCGTTCTAAGATACAGCAACATAAAGTAACATACGCCATATTATCCCCATAAGAAAAGCAAAACAATAACTTTTCAAGAAAAATTATATATGTATCTAGTTTTATTCGTTTAATTCATTCACTTAGAAAATCGAAGCCTTTTGTTTTAATTGCATTTATTTTTGATTAAAATTTTTTAATAATTTTCTAATGGCTGAAAAACTGAAGATGTTATTTGAAAATATTAATACATTATTTAACATTATTAATACAATTTTATTTGAAATATATTATTTAATTTTATTTATATATATATAACTCTTTAATTGTTCAACTCTACTATGACTTACATTTCACGTTGTTCAAATTTAAAAGAAAATCATTTGCGGAATTCACTTTCAATAATAAACCAGAAATGAAAAACTGCTCTGCTTTCTGCAAAATTTTTTATAATTTGGCAGCNTATTTTATAACCGTCGTTGAACAGCCGACCCAATTTCATGGGTTTACGACTACTTACGTTCAACTCCGTAGCCTTGTAATTTTGAACCAATCCAGAAGACAAGGAAACTCCTGGATCAGTACCCCCAGAAGTATGATTTGTAATGGGTAAAGGGAAGACTTTATGATTCTACAGATTTAACGTGCATCAGTCACCATTTACTACACGGGGAGTCTTCGGCCGGCGGGAATCGAACCCACGATTCTTTTGGACATGGGCCCAGTGCCCTACCAACCAGGCTATCTCGGCCTATATGTTAATATATTTTATTTTATTTTATAACCGTCGTTGAGCAGCCGACTCAATTTAATGGGCTTACTGCTACTAATGTTCAACTCCGTAGCCTTGTGATTTTGAACCCAATCCAGAAGACAAGGGAACTCCTGGATCGAGTATTGGGAGAAATTCCCTTCGTGGAGGACTTTTTGATGGAGCTAACCCGCATTTGCGTTACATGGAGAGGAAGTCCACGAGAACCTCTTACGGTTAGCCTGATTGAAAGGGGACTCTAACCCATGATCCGTCTACCACTGAGGATATTTCACGTCAACACTCTGGTCGGTGCAAGGCGGATGCGGAATTCGTAGCTACTGGGATTCGAACCCAGATACCGCAATCTTCCAGTATCTGGACAAATGCTTCAAGTCAAAGTCGATGAATTAGCTAAGCGATTTGGTGAGACTACTTGTATGTGCTCGAATGACTGATTAGACAGGTTTAAAAAGCGGAATAACATTAATTCAGGAAAATTTTCGGACAGTCGGGAAGTGTTTCCGTAACTGATGTTGAGGATTGCTCATCAGCTGAAGATTACTAATTGTTTTTGTACGCAAGACGAAGAGTAATAAAAAATAAAAGTTAATACATTTTTTGTTACTACATATTATGTTTCAGTTATTTTTTTATTTCATTTTATTGGTTATTTATTTAAATAATGTGTAAAAAAATTGTTTGTTAAAATTGTTTCTGGAACGGATATAGTGAAATCCTGCTTATAGTGAACCGAAATTTCGGTCCCTTGAAGGTTCACTATATCGGGGTTTTCACTTCCACTTCTAAGGAGAAATCCTTTTTCTATTGGGAAGTAAAAGAAGAAAAAAAACTGAAGACGAATTTTTCGTTTTTGTGCTAACCTATGAAGTACACAATTTCTTAATTTTATTTTTTTTATAATTTTAAATTTGTAAGTATGTTAAGACCGTTTAAAATTAGGAGTTTATGATGATTTTAAAGGAATGAGCTATATTATAGGCCTTTCCTTCATAGTTCCCTCTGATATATATATATTAAAAAATGTTTTATAGACATTTACTGGAGAGCAAGTTTTTATAGTGCTTATCGTGTTCATATTAATCATGTAGTTTTTAATCTTATTTCTTAAATGAATTGTTTTTAAATTCTTCAAGCAAAAAACTATACAATATCTGAAGTTTGTTAACAAAATAAAATAATATTTCATAAATTAGTATTTTATAATGTAAAAGTAATAATTGCTATTTTTTAAATCTTTTCCCTATTATCATATTTTAGTAAATGTTATTTATGTTTTAAAAGCAGCTTTGTTATAAATAGTTTTAAGTATAATTAATACATTTGATATCTTTTTTAATAAATTTCCTACTTTTATTCCATTTTTTTTCTATTTTTATGTATTATACCTGTACTTTTACTTAATTTCTACTAATTATCCCATAGCTTCAATACCATGGTGCAAAATAACAGTCTGATAAAAAAGGAACAAAATAAAAATATTATTTCTAAAAAAAATACTATTAAAAAAAATATTATTTCTTTCTGTTATTATTATATAGATATATATATATCTCATTAAATATTTTAATAAATATATTTTACAACAATATTTCTTATCATAAATTACATTTATATCCACCAATTTAATCTTCCTCTTTAACCAAAAATTGTCCAATGTCACAAAACCGCCACATTTTCCTCTTTCCTTGGGCAACTTCCAAACATGAAGCTATTTTAGAACAATCGATATGAAGACAAACCGTACACGGAAAGCGAAAAAAAAATAATAATCGCCCTTGCCAAGTAAGATTGACAAATTTTAGCAGAACACTGCAGATATTAACTGAATTAAGTGATGTAAAATCCATTTAAATAAGGTGGATTATTTGGCAATAATTAGTTGCAATCGCTTGACTAAGCAAGCCACTTGAGCAAATAGAAAAATCTTTCGAGCGTAGTGATAAAAAAAAATGACTTGTAAGTTAAATCTCGTGTTCCTGAGTGTTTAACGGTTTCTTACGAACACCTGCAGCTTGCTAAATCATAACAATCCTTTGATTCGATTCTATTTAAACATTTCGCAAGAATCAGATTATCGCTATGACAATTTCATGTATAGAAGGAACTAATTTTTATATGAATATTTTTTGATCTGAAACTTTCTTTAAATTACCAAACACCAATTGTTATTTTTGATCGGAGATATTTGAAATTTCTTGATTTTTATCACAAATCTGTGTATAAAAAACATAATTGTTAAAACAAAAAGAATAACGAACTTATTCTTAATTTAATTCCTGCGAAAAATGTTCCTATAATTCAGAAAAACTAAAAACTGGAGAAAGAAGGAAATAAGAATAACGAACTTTAATTTCGTTTCTGAGAAAAATGTTCCCATAGTTCAGAAAATTAAAAACAGAAGAAAGAAGAAAACAAGAATAACGAACTTATATTTGATTTAGTTTCTGAGAAAAACGTTCCGATAGTTCAGAAAGTTAAAAACAGGAGAAAGAAGGAAACAAGAATAACGAACTTATATTTGATTTACTTTCTGAGAAAAATGTTCCTTTAGTTCCGAAAATTAAAAACAGGAGAAAGAAGGAAACAAAAATAACGAACCTTTATTTGATTTAGTTTCTGAATAAAATGTTCCTATATTACAGAAAATTAAAAACAGGAGAAAGAAGGAAACAAGAATAACGAACTTATATTTGATTTAGTTTCTGAGAAAAATGTTCCCGTAATTCAAAAAATTAAAAAACAGACGAGCTTAAATATTGTTTTTCTGGGACTAAAATTTAAAATTATTTCTTATGAATCAGTTTTTTTTTTCTTGTTTTTTTTTAAAACTCTTTTACAATTTTAACAATTTGTAATGATTCAAAATATTTTTGTAAATAAGTAATTAAACAATTCATGGTAATTGGTCAGTGATCTCATTTAAAAAATTTTTAAACTTATTTTAAAAGCCTTTCATTTTGAAATCCTACTGATTTTTCCTAGATATTAGCGTTCATGACTTTAAGAACTTCAGTTTACAATTAGTTAACTTTTATAAGCATAATATTTAGTTTTTGCGTCTTCTTACCCTATGAAACTTGAATTCAACCATTTAAATAAAACCATACATTTCATTGAAAGTGAGTAGACGTTCTCCTCTCATTTTAACTTAAACATTTGATTTTTAATGCAAGTTTACTTGCTAGCTAGGGTTCTTTTTTTAGCATAGCATGCGCTTAAGGTAAAACCTTCGACTCAACCTATAACCATAGTAAACGAAAATATTTTTTCCAACTTTAACTGGAAATAATTCCTATCTTTACACCGAACAGGGTGTCTAGCAATCTGGTTAGCGGCGATCTCTTTGACGATATGAAAACAACCCTTACTGCACTATGTGGTAATAATATTTCTAATTAAACAAAAATTTAAAAAAAATTAAGCCAAAATATTCGGTACTGAAACCATTCCTTTATTAATTTTTCCGTTCATATGGTAACGGCTAACCAGAAAATCTGGTTTTCAAAATTATAATTCTTACCTAACATTTAGTAAAAAACACAAAAATGAAAAGTAATTTTAACCGAAGAAAGGGTTTTTATGCCATGCTCTGAGGTATCGTGATGAAATTACCAAATTTTACCACATTTACCAAATTTTCTCATATATTATATTATTTTTTATTGTTTATTTTATCAAAACGCTTCGATTAATCTGACCAAATTGTTTGTTGCTACCATAGAGCTAAAATCAC